AATTGCATTTGCTCAGCTTAAACAGTGGCTGGACCAACTGGCTCGGTAGGTAGTCACATCTGAGCGCCAGGTCCGCTCAATTGTACAACCACTGTCACTGTTCTACCAAGACTGTCAATCAGTGGAACGCTACACCAGTAGTGACCTCACTGGATCGAGAGCCGTGTTATCAACCGTGCCAATTGTAAAGTGAAGCTGATATTTGTGCTTTTCAGTTGTCATTTTGTTACATCATTTTTGTGCCTTTAATTAAGAGTATAACGGTATAGATATGACAAGACATAAGGGGAGAGGGAAGGCGAATGACATGCAGCAAAGGCCTCTAGTGGAACTCAGACCAGATGTTGGTCTCAACAACTGGATAGCTTGCCATGCAAGGACATTCTCATCAGCCTCATTTTCACTTTGAGTCAACAAAACATGCTAAAACACTGAACTAAAATGGTGAACCTGATAAAGATTTTACCTGAGAAACATGCCAAATGATCAAGCCAAAGACCAAAAAAAACACACAGGAAAATGTATAAAAGTGCAACAAGAGCAATTATCCTACTTGTCTCAATTTGGAATGAGTATCGCCCCCACTGCAGTCAGTGTTGCTGAAGCCTCCCTATGTTGCCCATGGGAGAGTGTAGACATGGAGGCAGCAAGCTCCATTGGGCTGTGCCACAGCTCAACTTAAAATATAATTTGCTCAATTTTTAGGTATCAGCACTGCCAGGTGCAGTGCTTTCTGGCTATAACAATCCTAAAGCTGTTCTAATAAAGTGGCGTCCAGAAATTGATAGGGTTAAAGCTAAATTTCAGTTTGCAAAAAGAAACGGATCATTTAATCTGTCATCAGATCTCCAGCTCACATCTCCTAACAGACATAAAGATGAATGGATAAATGGATGGATTTATTAATGAGGTAGTCTTCTTAAGAGCTCTCGGATTTCAAAGCAGATGATGGAGGAGAATTGCAGGCTGCATGACAGACAGACAAATTGGGTCTCTCATTAAGTCTTTAGTCAGGCTTTATTGGATGAAAAACAGCAGAGACACTTTCAATCAATCAAACCTTGTGTAATATTCTCAGGCAAAGATTGTGAAGCATCAGCATACATTACAGCAGGCCTTTGGAAACCTCTACACCCCCCTCCCCAAAACAAGTACTCTACACCACACCCTCCGAAATCCTGCCCTAGTGAAATGTCGCTTGCTCCCTGGATGCCAACCTTAATTCCCTCTCTGTTAAATTATTCTCTTTCTTTCACAACAAATCGACATATATCCATGTATGAATACTTGTGCCCCAATCAATGTATGAAGGACAAATTATAAAAATTGTCATCAACAGAGAGATGACAGAAATGTACTCAAACTCAAATATTCATGTTTCAACTCTACTGCACACCATTGCCACATCTCACTATGCCACACCTGATCTTCAGTGTCCCCTGATCTTTTGCAGTTTTGTGGATCCTCACCTGAGCCCTCTTCATCCTCTCTGTAACCCAGTCTGTCTCCCCACACTCAGGCTTACCTTGGCAGATCAATGGAACAGCAGGAGGTTAGGTTTTTAATTGAGCTGTCCTGAAGGGTGGGTTATATTTTAATGAGGCCAGGTCCTGTTTTCATCCCGAACTTTGAGGCTCTACCCTGCAGGTGTCCATCCTCTAACTTGAAAGGAATGCAAGGGCTTGTACAGCTACCCAAGAGGTGTCTGACCTCACCAAGTGCCACTGCAGGGCCTGACATTTTCACATATATGCCAATATGCCAAGTTATAAATGATGCACAGTATATCAAACATGCATCATCACCCCAACCACCTTTTCATTTGCACACAACGTTAGCTCTTTAGGTTCCAATTGCCGTGTTGCTCGGGGCGGGCCCAAATGAATGTTTGGCATGTTGGGATTTGCGTTCATGCCATTTTTGTAGTTTGTGCTTGTCAAGTGCAAACACATTGTTATATGTACCTACTTGTCCCGGCCCAGAGAAGAGAAAGCCACACTCAATAAAATATACAGTGTGTGTAAAATCAGTAGCATATATAGTTTGTGCAGTACATTAGTGAGTGGGTAATGTCAAATACAAAGGTAATAAACAGAGATTTCAACCTAACAGATGCAAAATAGCAGCAGCACAATAACAGCAGACAATAGAGTTATGGCTCACTTGTTGGCAGTTTTCTAATTACATATTACACAGTACTTTCACAGTAAAATTGGAGCAATGTTAGTATTTATTGGGAATTGTAGTTTTCTTCTGTACGCCTCTGTGCTGGTGACAGCTGTGTCTGGAGTGTATGTCCCATTTTCATAAAAAAAAAAAAAATCCCTGGAATCCCTTGAGGGAATTTCTTCAAGCTTGACACAAGCATCCCCTTGGATTCAAAGATAAACTGATTAGATTTTTGGTGGTCAAAGGTCAAAGGCCACTGGTTGGCAGAGGAATACAGTACAAACACAAGGTGGTAATTTTTATTTTCTCTCTATTTTGGTCCTCACTACACTTGAGATAGATATATTTTATGCTGGTCGCTCCACCATTTTTATCAGTTACCACCCACTTAATACCTTTGACCGTCTACCCTTCGGTACTAGGCAGATAGCATCTGTATATCTGAGCTTGTTTTTGCAAGAAAAACAGGTTTGAGCCAATCCCAGCTGACATTGGGTGAGAGGTTGGGTACAACCTGGACAGGTTGCCAGTCTATCACAGGATCAACATGTAGACAACCAACTCCGAGTTAACTGGACTTATATGCTGTAGGTAAAACAAAAAGAAAGAATAAGCTGTTTGTCTTCTTATCTCCTCTCTTGAAATCTTTTAGGTTGCTACCTGCCAGGAGACAAAAATCCATTGAATTCACATACAGTATAGCATCAAATATTCCTTATATACAGTATTTCTTTTAAATTAAACAGCAACAGTCCAACAGCTGGACACTGCACTACTAGATGGCTTGCATTCCCACAATGCATCGTACAACCTGCAAATTCCAAGCTGACGGTATTTGTGAACTGGCCTGTGATCGATGTCTGAAGTACCATCTCATTGTGTGTATCTTCCCCCCACAGCCCTCCACCGGAGCAGACTTGATGTGATAACGGTGTACACTTGAGACATTATAGTTCCTATGTCCCTGTGAGTCCATATACTGTATCTGGAAGGCTGACATTCACAGAAAAGGACATTTTACAGGTATTGTGATAGCTTTAGTGCAACCCTCAAAGTGTGAACTTTACACATTGTATAAAAAGTATATCTAATAAGTAGGTTGCATTTAAAGTGGCTTTGACCATTTTGATTTAATGATGCCAAGCTCTTTCCTAGAGTACCGTTCTCACTGTGGCATAACAGCCCTCTTGAGCACGATGCTCTTTCATATCATAGAATGCATTCAGTGTTGCAGCCACTAGTCGATGTCCACAGTGGTCGATTATCTATGAATAAATGTTTACACTTATTTCATGTAGTCTCTCACAATGTTTGGGACATGTTTAAAAGTCTACTGCTGCCGTTTACGCAGCATTTACATATTTTGCATTGAATCTTACTTTATTGTAGCAAAACACTTCAAAGAAGCGTCCCCAAGAAAACTTTCACCATGTAAACGTAAAACATAGATTACACCCTGTAGAGCTGAAGATATTCATGTTCAGTAGTTGGAAGAACCTTTGCTTTTTTAAAAGACATTAAACATTACTCCAAAGGAAAGCAGAGGGATGGGATATTTCACAGACAGATGTAACATTTACCATTTTATCTGAAAAGTTTACCAAAGTCAGTAATCGGACTTCAGTTTTGAGGTGAAGTTGCCCCCAGTACTGCACTCATTCCTAGAAAACCAAACAACAACGTGCTCTACAACCTGCTGCAATACATCTTTAGGAGTAACAGGAGTGTGTTTGCCTAGTAGCAAACACCTCTATACGTAATCAGAATGGCCACAAAGTAGAATGATGTAAAATACACATTTAGCATTCCCAGTTATGGGTAGGGGTCTTTCCCATTTCACTTGGTTTCAAGTTTTTTTTTTATATAGAAGTGTCTTATAATTTTTATTATGCCTGAAGAAAATTAAAACATTTGACAAGACCAACAATATCCTGAAGAAAATGTGGATACACACTAATGTATGATACATTTTGCTCTTCATGCAGTGTAGGGAGTTTCTTTAAATCTATTTCTTGTGACCTTTAGAAAATATATTGTAAGAAATGGACATTAGCGTCATAGAAAATGTATTTTGTTGTAGTCTATATAATAAATGTAGATGAATTATTTCAGTTTTAATTTAAATTGACATCCACCAAGTCACTGATACTGACATTTGTTTTACTTCAACTTTTAACATCATCTGAGCATCCGAGCAGCAAATGTTTTGCCAGACTGTAGTTACAGCATCACATTGACTTATCTTGTGAATATGAGGGGGTGGGACCAACGGCCTCCTGCTACATGTTAGGAGGAGGCATTATGCTGTGTAGAGACACTACAATACTACTACAAAGAGATGTCATACGAGGTTAAAAGAAAACTCTTTATTTTTATCAAGTGAATAAAATTTAAAACTGAATTCAAAATGATGTGTCTTCATAGTCCGTCAGTCTCGTATCTTTTGCTGCTTAGATTCTGGAACAGAATTGACCATTTAAATTGATTTCTAACTCTGGCTTTTTAACCCCCACGCTGCTAATAGAACTTATCCAGGCTCACGGTGCGGGATAAAGTCATATCCCAACACGGAAGCATAGTGTGCAATGACGCTCACCTATACGACAAGACAAATGTCACAGTGCCCCCATACTTTCACATTCTGAATTGCTTTTGAGTCTTAAGTGTGTAACACAATGCTTTTCATTAACCATTCTATTCTATTATCTGACTTCAGTTCCATTTTTAACACGTTTACTACACTGTACTGCAGTATATTTTTATTACATAGCACTCAAAATAAATGTTTCACCGTTAACCATACCAGTTTACCCATATCATCTTTTCTCTCTTGTAATCAACATTTGTCTGAGACGAGCTTTCATCATCTTTACATCAAGCCTATTAGCTTGTTGTCTATACCTGCAGCACAGTGAAAGCAGCACGTTCCTCAGTGTGTTCAGCTAGTACTGCTGTGCATTCAGACATCTTTTGGCAGTTCTCACAGTCCAATACACAATCTATACAGCTACACACATATGCAAAAACAGACAAAGCCTTAACACATATGCTTGCTTCTCTTAGGCCTAATGTATGAGATGAACAGCTAAAAAAACTGTTCTGTCCTGTTATCGTCTGGTGTAAACAGCTTGTTCAACTTAGAGCTAAAATGAAAATAAAAAACAAAACAACTAATTGGCACTCTTTGCAAAAGACCAGCTCCCTTCTGGTTTGTTGACTTTCCAAAACACTTAGTATAAAATACTACAACTGTGATCACGATCACTTAGGCAATACTGTTAAAGCATGCCCTTTGCTCTTGTAACGCAGGAGCATGAAGCTGACTGTAAATACTTCTTGAGCAGCATCTTGTTTCCCTCTTGAGAAGTTGTGTTCACAAATATTTACTCAGATATCCCCGGTGATGGTGAGAGATAGCAGAGGTACATGTTCGGGAACTCAAAGTCAATGCATCAAATTGTTTCATGTGTGTGTAAATGTATGTATATGTTATAAGTATGTGCGTGTTCAGAAGTACATATCCTGGAAGAGGTTCCTTCCCATTTCAATGTAGGCCTCCTTCTCCTGTGTAGACATCTGCTCCACTAGCTCTGGCCTTTGGCTCACCTCTCGATATGAGAACGACCGGCCCCCCACCATTACCATCGGTTCATCCCCCACCTCCTCAAACTCATCGTCATCCTCTTCCTCCTCCTCAACGGCCCGATGCTGAGCTGCTGTGGCAGGGGGCGGACCTGATGGGGAGTCATCGTCTGATTCGCTGGTATCGCTCTCTGAGTCACTGGCATTAGCTGTAGTGGAGGCAAGCCCCCTGGCAGCAGCAGCACCTGCTCCGCCTACGCCTCCACCTGCTCCCGCTACACCCCTTTTCTCATGGATGAGCAGAGCGCGCATCACTTCTTCATTTTCATCTGCCTTAATTCCATGACCAGCTGCTCCATCCAGACCTTCAGGTACAATGTCTCCACCTGGGAAAACAACAGTTACAGTATGTATTAAAACTAGAAATACATTCACTTCTGGAATCATTTGACATGTGATTATGCTTAGGCTGTTTAGGCTGCTTTTGAACATTTTGAATCTATACCCACTGTGTAATTTTGAAAAATGCCAATGCTCTGAGGTGGGGAACACTTCCTCCCCAGTTTCACAATGGGTCCTTTTTATGTGACATCACTCAACAGCCATTGTTCCTCCAATGTATGTATCGTTGCGTTCAAGCAGTCTAAAGCAGCTGCCACAGACATTAATGGACTGCAGATATTCTTTCACTGCGTTACTGGTCAGGCTTCCCCTATAAGAGCTTATGGTCACTGTGACTGACACGGGAAGCAGTGCTATCTATTTTGGGTGGGTAGGTAGGTAGGTAGGACATTATTGATCCCTCAATGGGGAAATTCCTGTGTTCCAGCAGCAATAGAGAGCAGCAACAAAACACCATAAGAACAGACACCACACACATATCTTGAGAAACATATTCCAAAGTACCTAAAACCAGACAGAATATAGTATTTGAGAGACAATCAGAATGATCCTCCCACAGTTGATCCCTGAGAACAAATCAAAGATATGCAAGAACAAGACAAGATATAGTGTTTGAGAGAGAGAGATCAAGAAATCAAGGACAAGAGTATTACTCCCATAATTAATCCCGCAATGGGGGAAATACCTGTATTTCAGCCATGAGGATCTCTGAAAAACTACTCAAAAATACCTAAAACAAGACAATATAAAGTATTCAAGAGAAATCAAGGACAAGATTTTACACGTGTACATATTAACCATGAATTTTACCCCAGGATTTGAGTATTGCACCTCAGTTGACTATTACATAGTCCCTCATACTTTCACCTAGCTTATCCCTGCAGTGATGTGTTGTACAGTCTGATTGCTGTGGAGAGGAACAACCTACGGTAATGCTCCTTACACTGGGGATGTAACAGTCTTGCGAGTCTCTTTCTGTCCCTGTCCGTGCTACCTCCCACCCAGCCCACAACAGCATAAAAAACAGCAGATGCCACCACAGAATCATAAAAAGTCCAAAGGAGTGCCGCCCCCCCCTCCACACACACACAAAGGACTGGCCCTTCCTGTACAGGGCATCATTGTTTTCAGTCCAATCCATGAGTGCTGGTGATTTCCGCTGGGGATCAATCACCATCTCTTTAGTCTTACTGGTGTTCAGGACCAGGTCATCTTTCTCACACCACTTCACAAAGTCAGTAACAACCCCCCCCCCCCGATACATATCCAACAATGGCGGTGTCATCAAAGAACTTTTGTAGATGACAGTGGTGGGAGTTGTACTTGAAGTCCAGCATGTAGAGGGTAAGTAAGTAAGTAAGTAAATTTACTTACAGAAGCGGTCAGTGCAGTAATGTGCATGCTACTAAGGGTGGAAAAAGTTACAGCAGTTAGCTAAAAAAAAAATGCTTGCAGTGCAGTATATGAAGCATAAGACGACAAATATTATGTTTGCTGAGACAGGCCAGAATAAAGTCCCTCCATCTCCCTCTTGTCTTCAAGAAAGTGATGAATGTTGGCAGTGGACATCACCATCCACAAGATCAGCCATCAAAATTATCCTGCAGTAGCTGGGTTTCAACCAGTAGAGGGCAGTCCCTATGCATATTTATAGCACAATATGCAAATACACTAAAATGTAGGGCTGTAATGATAACAAAAACCAAAGAACTATACAATATTGCTACAAAAAAAATCCACAATATATTTGTCAAATATTAAATAAAAATAAACTTTAAATGGTCTTATACTTGTATAGCGCCTTTCTATGCTTTTACAGCACACTCAAAGCGCTTTCACACATTATTCGGCCATTCACCCATTCACACTCCCAAGCACTCACGCATTCACACACCAGTGACATCACCGGGAGCAACTGGGGGTTTAGTGTCTTTGCTCAAGGACACCTCAACATGTTGATTGGACAAGCCGGGAATCGAACTGCTAATCCTCCGGTTAGGAAACGAC